GCGGGGAGCGCCCACCTGCCTGCACCCGCTGCCTGCGTGGGAAGCAGCGCAGGAGTCGGGACTGCGGGGCGCCTGCTGGCCGCGCCGTCCCCCGGGTCAGCTCGCTCGGGCCCGCAGAGGGCGGCTCGGGCGCGCTGGGGAGCTCCAGGAAGAAGGCGAGGGTCACCCGAACTCCGCCACCCCCAGCCGAGCTCAGCCTCGACTCCCTAGTAAATCGCCGCCCCGATCCCTCAGCCAAGCTCTCTGCACACCCCACCCCCGGGCCCCGGCTCGCCCCCAGCCTGGGTCCGGCCGCCCAGCCCCCCGCGGCACCTCCTGAGGCCGCACCCCCTGCAGGGCCCCCCGCCCACGCCAGCCGCTCGCCCGGGGAGGCTGCACTGGCCAGGTCTCTGCCCTGCACAGCCAGGCGTCCAGCCCCGCCATGGCCGTCCACAGCCGCCCTGACCGGACACCAGACTCAGCAGCCAGACCCGCGCCGGAGGGCGTCTGAAAGGGCCACGGGCGAGGCCCCGGCCTGTGAGGAGCTGACCTCTGGGATAGCCGGGGCGGGGGCTGGACAGGCCGCAGGGGTCTGCGAGCGCAAGGTCAGGACAGACGCAGGCAGGAGGCTGCTGCCCTGGAGCCAGGGAGTGGGCGAGCTGGGAGGGGCACAGTGCAGGTGGCGGCAGCGGCCAGCAGCCCCGCCCAGGCCCACACGCCCTGCCCAGGCCTCTTGCTCCCAGGAGCTCTCGCAGCAGGGCCAGCAGGGCCAGCAGGGCCAGCAGGGTCCGTTTCCGCGTGCGCTGGAGGGGAGGGCCGTGCGGGGCCTGTGTGGTGCAGCCTCGAGCGGTCCAGAGCCGGCAGCCGGCCCGGGGCCAGGAGAGGCCAGGCGGCACCAGCCCGAGGGCTCAGAGAGCCGCTCACGAGGTTCAGAGCCCACCTTCGGGGCGGCCAGGCAGCACCCCGCCTGTCTTCAGTGCCGGGAAGCGGCCAGCGGGGCCACGTCTCCTGTGTAACCAAAGCCTGTAGCAGAGGGGAGAGACGCCCCCACGGCACCCAGCTGGCAGCGAGCTCCCCTTTCCAAGAGGGGTCCCCATTCTGACTGGTGGGTCCTGTCACCCCACACCTCGGCCTACCCCAGCGTTCGTGCGCATCCATCAGTAAAGAGCTCTTTGCCGGCCTCCCTGTGGGCAGCGGGTGGGGCCAGCACCGGGAAGCTCGAGCTGCTTCAGCAGCGGTCCACCCCCGCCCGTGACCCCAGGGCGCCCCAGTGGCCCCAGGGCGCGGCAGCCCTCTCCTGACCCCGCTGCTCCCCTCAGCAGTGGATCATGTCGCCTGCCCCGCTCCCCGCTCTGTCTCTGGGGAAGCCTCCCGCCGCCTCTGGCCTGCACCCCAGCTCTGTACGCACAAACAGACGAATTGCAAATACACAATGCACATCCCTGGGTGGGAGGGGGCCCCTGCTTGGGGTCCGCCTAGCCTGCACGCAGGGTGCTGAGGGAGCCGGGCTCGCGCGGGCTCTCTGGGCGCGGCTTTCGTCCGCAGTCTCCTTCCGCCAGCAGGCTCCGGACAGCCGTGATGGCTCTGGAGGTGGGGGCAGCCCCCCGAGGGGTTTCCGTCCCTGAAGCAGGACCCCGAGCGCAGCACAGCAGGCAGCAGACAGGATGGCGGGAGGCAGAGAGGAGACCCAGCCAGACGCGGGTCGGGAAGAGTCACCCCAAAACATCTCGGGCAGCCAGGGCTTCACCCCCCGTCCCCCGGCACTGTGGGCCCCAAAGGAGGGTGCCCATCCGGCCGGGAGCCTACCAGCGCCCCCGGGAATCACCTCTCCTGCCCGAGCCGCGCTCAGACGGCCCCACCCCGTTTTCTGTAAAGGCCCCCTAGGTGGCTCGGGTCCCCACCCCAACTTTTCTGCAGTTCCCGACTCTCCCCCAAATGCCCACTTTTACTGACAAAGTAGCTAGTGTCATTTGAAGTCGACCTGGCTTGTGAAGGTGACGTGTCTGCGCACGGTCACTGGGGTGCAGGCCGAGGCGCAGGGCTGGAACTCCCCCCCGCACGCAGGGAGCAGGACA